ATTAAACATGTTTCAGGGATGCAACAACAGGAATAAAGGATGCACACAAACAGACTTTAGAAACAGTATTGTTTGGGAACTCACCCACATTAATTACAACACAGAACATTTATCTGGTTCATGTAAACCTTGTTGTTTGTTTCCAAATCCTGTCATGCTTCATTCATTGAGTTAAGTTAAGTTCAGTAATCACACAGTTAGCCTTTTGTTGTGTGAGGAAAGCAATTATTACTGAAAAAATAAATATAAAGAAATGGTAAATATTATGAAAAGGTACACAGATAAGAACAATAATTTCATTGCACTGAAGAGTAGATCTGATGGTGTCAGAGCGCTGCAGCAAGCAGGAGGCTAAACACTGACGCAAAGCTGTCTCGCTGTAGCTGGGTATTGGTAATGATAATGTGAGACACATTTAAAATAATAAAACATCGTTTGTCAGTAGTTTTTACCTCTCAGTAGTAAAAAGCTGGTGGGGTGTTGTCGTCACCCTTCTACCAAAACCTTGGACAAGTTTGAATATCAGTGATGTCTACCTCAAGGTCAGAGGTCACGTTTTCTGAAACTCGTGTGAATGAGATCACTTGAGAACAGGGAGATGTAGGGTATTGAAACTGATACTGTAGGTGTATCTGCGAGGATGCTGAGGGGTACCACTGAGGGGTACCACTGAGGGGTACCACTGAGGGGTACCACTGAGGGGTACCACTGAGGGGTACCACCGGTCACTGCCAGTATTTTCCATGTGTGTAGATATTATTATACTTTCACACGCTACACTTTAAGGAAGGCGAGCCAAACTGAGGAAAGCTCGCCATGGTCACAAGTAAGGGTGCAGAGAAAAGGTTTGTTGACCAGGTATGTAAAGAATAGATATGAAATTAAAGGGTTTCTATACAGTGTTAACACATGTTACACAAGGGATTGCTAATAGATCTACAGCGTGCCCATTCCTAAACACAAGCCTAATGTAGCATTGCTCGATAATGTCATGTGTGTTTTAAACCAATAATGATAATCTTCACCGGGAACGAAAGAAGTGCTAAAAAACATCAAACACTAAAAAATAAAGCATGAAAAGCACAGACAGAGACTGCAGTTTAGATCTTTTTGTTTTCAACACTTCAGCTCTGTTCGTGCTTCACTCATCGTGGACCAACAACAGCAGGAGTACACACAGACTGGCTGTAGCACAGACAGTGTACACTGCCTCCATCTGACCAAAGAGCAGACAGCGAGCCCACTCTCTACCTTTAATCCCATTTACAGTAGAAAAGTGCTTTATAACAAAGTCCATTCAGTCCTGTAACAATGTGTCCAGCTTTGTGTGTGTTTCCTGTCTCCGTTTTGTCTGTCAAGGTGTTACGAGATATCTTCCAGTATAAGCCCATGCTGACCAAGCAGCAGTTCCTGCAGTGGGGCTTCTCTCAAAGGAAGATCTCTGTCATCTGTGACATTATTAATCTGGTCCTGCAGAAACACAGCCAGCTGAAGAAGGTACGAAACCAAAAACTAAATTTGTTTTTATTTTCATGTATTTGCCTCAAATGGAGAGAGCTTGTTCCATAAGTGTCTGTGGTGTGTTTGTTGACTTTGTGTTTGTTGACTTTGTGTTTGTTGACTTTGTGTTTGTTGGGTTTGTGTTTGTTGACTTTGTGTTTGTTGCTGGGTCACAAGTGGCAGACTGTGTTACACGAGTCATTTCTCACTCTAATTTTCTCAAAGCAAACATTTAATATACGACTTGTCACAAGATATAATAATGTCCAAAAGTACAGAGAGTTGCTCAATGTTTTATTCTTGAGTAAAAAATACAGTTAACTGCTCTGAATAGGATCTCCACTGGGACCAGTATAGCTCACTGGTTCAAGTAGGTGACCCATATGCTGCAGGCCTACTGGAGAGGCAAAGGTTTGAATCCTTCCTGAGGCCATTTCTTGTGTCTTCTCCCTGTTCTTTCCCAGCTTTCCCGCCTTGTCCTCACTGGACAGTGAAAGAAATAAAGAAAAAA